ACTGTATCGAACTTGTTGCACCCCTAATAAATACATAAACACACCACAGCCAGTCAGTGTGACAAAACTAATGAATAATGTTGAACTGTCAGTAGTCTTGTTTAAATCATTTTTATGATAAATCCAAATAATCGCGAAGCCCTAGATCCATGTGGGGACGCATCCCTTATGTAGTTAACCAAGCGGGAACCTCCGAGGGCTGAAAACTGAAGCTGAGAAGAAACTATCCGTACCTGCAGTTCCTTTAGTGGCCACTTGGGAAGAAATCATCATAAACTCCGGTGTTAACATGCCTAGCTTTGCAGTAGTGGTCGACATCACTGACGATGTTAAAGAAGAAACACCTTTAATCTTAGATGAGGACTTTAAGCTCAGGTCAAGTCATAAGAAGCCTTCAGTTTATTACAGGACATTTTTGACAGCTGGTAGCTGCTGGAGGCACAAATCCTGGAGGTTTGTGAAGCTAAATGTAATAACTTTGGAGAATATATATATATAAAAAAAGACACTTACTGTTAAATATCAGAAACAGACCTAACATTAACAAAAAACAAATAAATAGAGAACTGGAAGTGGATCAGACACACTAAATGAGCAGTTAGGGGACAGAGATTTCTGCTGAATGATGCCAAAGATCACAGTTAAAAAGAAATGGGTTTGGATTTCTCCCTCATGAAACCACACTCATGGTGTTTAAACCTAAATGGCTTCCATTAGCTAAAACCGGCAACTGAGACATGGCTCAAAGATCAGAAATTAAAGCTTTACTGCAAAACACTGTATTTATTGATTATTTTCTAATAGCTGTGAGTGTCACACACAGACAGTTACAGTTTTTTTTAAGAAAAAGATCCCTTAAACTTTTTAATCCCCAGTTTTTAACCTCCTGGAACAAGAATCTGCTCCCGAGCAGCGAGAGCCAGAACCCTGCACACGGTGGAATTGCTCTTGATGCCCGGCAGCTTTGGTTTATTGGACGCTGAATGAAGCGGCACAGGGAAATAATGGAGCTTCAATGAGTTGAGCATCGCAGCTGCCTGTGGACAGATGGCTTCAGAGTTGAGTCACGCCATGGCTACGGTGTAGACACCATCATCTGGTACGGCAGTGACACAGCCGTCTGAATGAAACGAACCATTAACTTCTAGATTTATAAGCTTGTAGAGACCTAAGCGCTGAGAAATGTTTCATTTATTCGTGCATTAATTTTATAGTACAAGTCTAGCAAGAAAGAACCAGACCAGGTTACAACCTTAGAAGTTTTAACCCAAAAAGTACGGACAAACACAATCATACCTGCTAATTACAGCTAATAACACGCTAGCATTTCACTCACTGATGTCTGTATCTGACAGCAGAGTGTTTGTCAGGTGAAAAAAGCTTCATAAAGCACCAACAGACTCAGTGGCTTCAGTCAGAGGAGGCGAGCTCTGATTGCCTACAGTTCCCCGTGTCAGGAAATTGGGCATTTTGATGTGGGAGGCACCGGGGACAGACTGACTTGTGGAGTCAGTCTGAAGGACAGCTGGCTTCTTAATACCTCTGTGCTGGCTTCATGCTTCTGCCCAGGAGGTCAAAATTTGACAATAACAATGGAAATGCAGATATTTCTATCAGCCAGAGAAGAACGGCAGTCAGAACAGGACATAAACACTCGATAATTAAATAATATAAATAATTCAAAAGTTGCAAAAAGGCCAAGGAAGTCTGATTTTTGGCTTTTCTTTGCTGCGTGTTCCTGCGATGCAGAGCGTTTGTGACACTTTGTGACTAATATCCACAGTTTAATTACATATAATATGATTTGTTGCAGCTGCAGATCTAACATGCTTACTACACGTTAGCGCTTTAGGACACGATTCCACCGGTGAAGATGAAGTGGGACGAGCCACATATCAATAACATGTAAATGAGACGCGCTCCTTCGGTGGCGCGTTGCCCTGCTTTGGCAGCCGAGAGCCACAGAGTGAAACTTTGAACAAAGCAGGTGTTTTTCTCCCCCCGCAGCAGATACACATCTAAATAGTAGCTATCGAGCGCAGCACTTGGTGATTCATAACCTGACCGGATTGCCAAACAGAGGCCACAGCTGTTCGCGCTTTGATAAGAGATCTCATTTAACAAGCCGCCGGTGCGAGCAGCTGGTGGCTCTTTATTGTCAGGATGAAAAGGCTGAAGCGGGACCTGTGTCCAGAGTGGGCCTCTGGTGCGGTGGCAGCACAACC